CTTTAGCCAGCTTGGTTCCTTGCCTGGCTTGCCCGGAAAGTGATCGTGGCAGAACTCGTCCACCTCCATTGTCCTCATTCCCAGTCCTGCCATGTGCAAGGATACTCATCCGTCTGGAAGCCTTGAAACAAATTGCAGCAGGGCTGGCACATGAGGCTACAACCATGAGCTGGGAAGTGCACCAGATCATCATTGTCCGCTTCCAGTGGCCATTGACTTGGCATAAACCTGTAAGACCATCCACGCTGGAAGCCTTGAACGAGCAGGCGCTCGACATCTGGACACTCCACCCATCCCCTTGCAGAGGGATCGCGGCAACATCCTTATAGCCAAGGTCCGACGCACCTTTTTCATGCGCACCAGTTATAAGTCGGGGTCCACAACCACAGGGCCGCATCAAGGTAACCGTTACGTGCCTCCAGGCCCACGCCGATCTCCTCCAGAGGCCTGCTTCAGCCAATTTCTGAGTCTTAGCGCGAAAGGACGGCGAGTCCACCAATACCATCAGGGCCGCAGCTCGGAGGGAGCGTGCCACGCCCTGCTGTCGAATTGTGTCCGGGCTCCGCTCCAAAAGGCCAACTTCTATAGGATCTTATGAATCTTTGGAGGCTATAGGACAGCACCCACATGTATGCCAATGTGAGTCACAACCCATAATTCGCATGAGTGCCAATCACGTCAGCCATCTGTGCTACAGACGTAAACCCTCGACCGAATCTGGTTGGTGGTCTCCTTCTCTCTTTCCCAGAATCTCCGAATTGGTCCCGATGTAAGCACTTCCTCCTAACACTACACACTTTATGTCCCCAATCCACAGGAAGCACCCTCCAATCAATGCGATCTTTGTTCGATCTTGGTTGCCCTTTAAACCTCTTAATTGGTTTTGTGCAGCATTAGCAACCCTAAACCCTAAACCGCGTCTAGGAAAATATATCCAAGAAGGGATAACCCAGAAATGCGCGGCTGGCCAGTCTTTCACCCCAGTTCTTGTAGCGAGGTGTGAGACATCCAGTTGTCGGGCGGACAGAACTGCAGATTTTGCATTGGCTACGTCTGAAGAAACGCGGGTTGTGAGCAAAGACTCCAAGACGGATTAAGCCTGTGGTCCTTCGGACCCGGACGCAGGAGATCCGTAATGTTTATTGTTCTTAGCATCGCCGCTCCGGAAATCTTGAACTAAACCTCTCAACCCCAAGCAGTCTGTCTCTTAACCTCTAAGCCCTTAATTCTGTTGAAACTCTTAGCTCTAGCCCGCTTGCGAGAAAGGACCATTGGGAATGTCAGCTCTTTGTCTGAACTCATCCAAGTTCCAATTCTCAGAGGAACTCCATCTCGGAAAACCTTCACCAGCAAGTCCTGAACAGATTGGAGATTGCCTCAACTCTTTTTTTTTGCACCGGGGTTCCTTCACCTCAGTACAATACAGGTCCGTACATCCGTTTCTTTTAGTATGGGGGCCGTAATTTCACCCTAAACCCTAAGCCCTAAGTCAAGCAAACTCCCACGTGGTAGCTTGTAGTATCTCTGGGCCATTTGCATGATGAGAATGCCCTGCGGCATTGTGGTCGTACATCGGGTGATGTTGGTGTGCATCTATATATATATATATGTGTGTGTGTGTCGGTATTGCTATCAGTATAAATATCTTCATACGTATATAATTTATATATAAGCCACGATATAACCACCGTTTCCATTTCATTCCGGAGCAATTCTATGTGTTCAGGTGGCGCAAGTCATGGAAAGGGGCCAAGCCTTGGCCGGATCGCCCTTGCCGCTGGCCACGGTGGCATACTCTCCGTTGGCCGTGTAATGAAGGAATCCTGGATGTTGGTGTTCTTTCGGTTTATGTAGGCTGTCTATGCTACGGAGGGTTTGGAGCGATTTTGTTCGGGCATGTTCGGGCCAGCATCATCGGCACAATTGGGCCTTCGCTTCTCAGGTTTTACACCTCAACATACCTAGGGTTTTGGATGACGGTGTTTGTGGCTGTAAATACCCGTGTTGTTAGCACCTGCACTGCATGATAAGCATGAGAAAGGCTTGGCGTGCATTGCCCAGGCCAAGCCCTATAAACTGTGCATGTTGGGCGTTTTGCCCATATGTCAAGCACTTTTGGGGCTCCTATGCTACGATTTTGCACAGAGAACCATGCTCGGGCATTTATTTTGGCTTTTCTTGGGTCTGTGACCCGTTCTAGTCCCAATTTCACCGAAATGGGGCCCCAGTTGTGCTGTTGATGCTCGCGTGCGGGGGGGCGCGCGCCCCACAATTGGGACCCCATTCTGGGTCATTTTCATTTGAACTAGAGAGAAGAGGTCCTTCCAAACCTGAAAAACATCCCAGGTAGCAAGAACGTCATTTTTTCATACACTTCTCCGGAGCAGGCCTGGGTTGGGCTGCTTTTCGCATCATGGCTGAGTGGGGGAGGTTGGCCAGGCCGGTACTTGCCGCCAGGCCTGTAACGATATCACCGTAGTCGCGCTGCTAAGCGAGTGTTGACCCTAACAGTCTAACAACAGGTGCGAAACACAGCCCATCAGGAGGTTCAGGGCTGAGGTCTTAGAGATTCAGGGCGCGGGGTTTGAGGTCACGAAAGTCACGTGATTTTGAGAACTGCCAGGAGAACAGCATTGCACATAACGGATGATTCTAAGGAGAACACTGATGGAAAGCATTTGCTTAGTCATCACACAGCACGACACCCCCGCGACTCCTGCTAATACAGCCGCTACACGTATCAAAACGCAGCCAGGCTCTACTGAAATGACTTGGAAAGCGCTTCCTCGATCATGAGCAAACGCACCCTTGTTTTGACTGAGCCCTTCGCGCAGGATTCGGATTTACGGTTTAGGGTTTAGGGTGTAGGGTGATGACTACCCATGAGCCTTCAAGCATGCTCAGGGGCTTCAAGTGTTCTGTACATGACGAGATTGTGTGTCTTTGACACAGCTCTCAGAGAAAACTGGAAAGAGAGCCAGGGCAAGCAATGCAAAAAGGAAACCCTACACCTTGACCCCTAAAACCGAAACGAGCAACCGGGGACTGTCCCTTCCATGCCAGCGGTTAGTAGGGAATGAAGGAATGCATTGTAGGGAATTAGTATGGCTGTTCTTTCATTTTCAAGACGGCCTTCCTGCTGATGCCGACATCATCTTGGGTATCGTGCATGAGCATGAAGCAGGATGCTAGTGTCGGCAAGTGTCGCCTACACCACCTTGTACCCATAGTCCACGTGATGGGGCAGCCATTGACTGGACATGAGTTAAAACTACCAGTTATAGCATCGTGAAATGGACTCTCATACCCCCCCTATACTCCCTATACATCGATGAGCCTCCGGCACCAGGATCGCGCCAATCTTGATGTGCAGTTCGTAGCGGCCACCGTGCCTCGGGATCAAAAACAGCAGCTCCAGTCGGTAGCATGTGACCGCTCACTACAGGTACGTACGGACTGCACTAAATCACCCCAATAAAAATCACGTTGAGGGTATTGCGAGGCATTGTGGCTAGCCACTGATGACCGGGAACCGGACATGTGGAAGTGGGCGCCAGGTCCTGTCACTAAAAATGCATGACAAACTAAAAGTCTCTCAACCAAAAGCCTAAACCCTAAACCCCTAAATGAACGTCTCTGAACCAAAAGCCTAAAACCCTAAACCCTAAATGAAAGTCTCTCAACCAAAAGCCTGGCTCTCCAACGTTTTCAACCCTAAGGACCCTGAGGGCCCTGAATCCTAAACCTCGAGCCCTATAGTCCCCCTTAAGTAGATAGAATATGGGTTTAGGGTTTAGGGCTTAGGGTTTAGGGTTTAGGGTTTAGGGTTGGGGTTGTATAGGGATAATGGAAAAGAAAATGGAAACTACTATTTAGGGTTTAGGGTTATTGTTCACCTTAAGTAGATAGAATCTGGCTTTGGGGTATGTTATAATAAGATCCCCATATACCCCATATTCTATCTACTTAAGGGGGACTAGAAACTGAGAAGCTGCCACATGTTTGCAAGTCCTCTCAGTCTCCAGCTGTTGTCCTGAGAGACCGCAACAGGTGCTATGAAGGAATACTATACAGATGAAGATATCTCAACAGCGCGGTGCCCCTACGGACCCTGGGGCGAGGTGGAGATTTCAGAGTTAAACAGGTCCTCCAACATGTTTGCTTACAGCAGGCAATGCTCAACTTGTGGTGTTGGGTTTGGGTGCTGAACGTCTGTGTGAAGGGATGAGCAAGCATCATCATCAGCATCATCATCACCATTATCATCATCAGCACACAATTCGCATACGGAGGATCATGCCACTGTACCTCGGCGCTCGAAGCTTTTGAATTGAACCGTAATGGGGGTATAAAGGGATTATAGGGTATATATTGGGGTTATATTGAGATGAATGGAAAAGAAAATGGAAACTACTATAATGGGATTATATATGCCTCGCTACGGACCTCTTACATGTAGCGTGAAACATGCTCGGCCCCTCGCGGTGTGAACACCTGACATTCCACGGGATTGCAGGATTGCCTCTGCTTGGCCACGTTCACGATTTGGGCTCTTCAGGGTTTACCGTCCGAGATGCCCTACCAAAATCCACAGAAAGCACTACCAAAATCACAATCATCACAACTACCAGGTTGCAAGGCGCTGGGTCTTTGCTCTCATCGGCCAGTCCAGTTGTGGTTGTGCTGTTGACAAATAATAGGCCAAGGAGATTTTGAGGGTGGAGTGTAAGCGAATTACAAAACCGCACTCTTTCTTGCCCTCCCAACTCCTCAGCACTGAAGTGCCTTCTCGGTGATCGCCACCTGCAGCACATCCTCAGATGGCAGATGAAGTGTCAACAGAAGGAGCACGCACGATGTCATCTGGATCCCTACATGATTTGCCAATGATCGAGTGCATGTGGAGCGTTTTGTCTGGCCCAGTCCATGTAATGTAAAACTCTTCCAAGGCAACTTGGCCAGGAAGGCACTTTATTGAGCCGCGTTTGCGGCTGACCGCATCAGCGGCACGAAGTCGAGCCAGTGATAAAATTAAAGCTGCAGCAGGTCGCCAGGAAGGTAGTTCCAGCCGACTTCTTGCATTTCAAAGGCCCCATCCTCCGGCCAAAGCAACATTCTCTGCCGGTGCCATCCCAAACTGCTGATCCGACAGTGCCCACAGCGAGGCCTACCGTGCAGCCGCTTCGGCTACACTTCACGCTTCCTCCAACGCCAACCCCAGCGCGCCAAAGTGGCCCGACGTTGCCGGCGACAAGCCCCATGCCGACGCCTATGCTTGCCGACGGTTTCTTGCGTTCTGTGAAAATCTTCTTGAGATCACCGCTGGCGCCAGTGGCGAGGCCGAAGCTACCGCCGACGTAAGCTCCGAACATCTTGCCGTAGCCCACACCACCCACGACGTTGAACTTGCCGAGGCATTCGAACACGTCCCCTAACCAGCGGCGGAGACGACCCCAGGCAAAGGTGCTTTGCTGCTTCGTCTCCACCAGTGCAACGTCTTTCGCCTCGAAAGCCGCAAGGAACTTCGCAAGCTTCACGTTGTTCACCATGCGCCATACCTTGGTCTCGTTGTTCAAGCTGGGCATGAGCGGAAGCACGAACCGCAACACGGCCTGATGTTGCAAATCCCCATAGCCTCAGTCTGAGACACAATTTATTCACATGATGTAATTTACATGGTTCAGACATGTTCAGACATGACGGCACAACATGATCCCCTAATCTTTTGAGGGCTTGGCCGTGGGCGCTCTGCAAGGATGCCTCCTGCACCTCGTGCCTGTAGAATCGGTCTGCGAAAGCACTGCCATGCTCGGAAAGGAAGCGCTGGACTCGGATCTCCAGCCGATTCCTCGAGCGGATGTGTGAGCGCAGCTGAGCCACAGCATGTGTCTGCGTCAGCTGCGTCAGCGCCACCGTGTGCTTGTGTGACATAAGGTGGATGTCGAAGAAGTTGCTGTGGTCGCAGCCCATCACTTTGCAAACGGGCTCCCACACCTCCTCCAGCTGAGCAACGGTCGCCTCCATGGAGCTGTTCATGCCATGACTGTCCAAGAGACGATGTGTGGCCCTCCCAGCGCGATGGAGAGCCGCATTGAACGACAACGTGTCACGCTGCGCAGTTTGTGCATCCGTGGCGTTGCTTTGCAAGAGGCCAAGACCCCCCGAGCCGGCATCCGGGTAGTCCGAGGCGTCGCAGTGGAAGTCCGGCTCCACATCCGAGATGATGAGATCATCCTCTTCCAAAGCGAGAGCTTGCTGGATCGTGCCCCACAAGATCTCGTCGAACCGTGTCACTTGCTCCATGAGCGTGGCAAACATTTCCATGGGCATGTAGGTCGGCACATCCTTTTGGATGAGACAGGCAGCCACATTGATGCAACCTTTTATGTAGGCCTCAGCATTCATGGGGCACAAAGAGGAAGAAGAGCCCAAAGCTTCGTGGAGGACGTGGTAGAAGCCTTGCACCTTGTCATACAATTCCATGAGATCCCCGCGCGGGTCCACACCGAAGTGATGGGTGACATTTTCATTGGGGGGAAGATCCGTCTCACGGATTTGCCCGCAAACTCGGTGAGGTTCATGACAACCATGGCCAGTGCGGTGGCTAGCTCTGCATGAGGACCATACTCCTGGTTCAACGACCATTATCCCTATATAACCCCAAGATATACCCTATTATAATATAGTAGTTTCCATTTTCTTTTCCATTATCCCAATATATCTCCAATATAACCCCAATAAAACCCCTATCTACTACAGTAGCTCTCCTGGGTCAACGGCTCTACGGGCTGTGACACATCCTGAAAGAGCCGATCATCCAGCAGCTGTACCTCCCCGGCTGCTGGATCCTGCTTGTTTACGGCGACCTTGTAGCCCAGGCAGGCATGGCAGAGCAGCAAGGCTCCAAAAAGCTTCATTCTGTTCCTAGGAACCTAGGAAGGTAGCTGGCGCGGATGGCTTCTTGAGCACATAAAATGCTTCGGAAAATCTTGGGTCCTTGCCAACATCTTGCACCTCACCTGCTTGCAAGAAAAAAATTCAGAGCAACACCTCCCCAGAAGCAACGGACAATTTAGCAGGAGTCCGTGCCATGAAACGGAGGCTTAGCAGGCCACCATCTCCCGGTGGTCTCACAAGTTCCCGCAGCTGATGGACCTTAGCCGGCAGACAGACGTATCTTAGGGCCTGAGGCCTGGGGAATGGGTTTTGTCTGCTTTAACTGCTGGATCATGCTGGCATCTGACACAATTGCCAATGTAGAGCAGGTCTGCTTCTCACCACCACAACAAGCTTCGCAGACTACGTCATATAGCAAATGTGCTTTTGTGCGAAAATACATTTTAGAGCAACTTCTCCAACTACATCACAGAGGCTATTCTAAACCCTATAAACCCTATTATAAACCCCATAAACCCTATAAACCCCATAAACCCTAAACTTTCGAAGACACATCTCGGCCTGCCCACCTGGACAATCGAACAGTCGTTGGCTCACCTTGGAAGTCGAAGCCTGAGAAGGGTGGGGATTGAAATGTCACAGCAGATGAAGGCTTGGGGGTTGTATATAGGGATCATTATAGGGTTATATAGGTTTAGGGTCTAGGGATTAAAGGGTTTATATGGGGATTATCGGGGTTATATAGGGATTCTTATTGGGGTCATATTGGGATAGTGGAAAAGAAAATGGAAGCTACTACAATGGGGTCATATAGGGATTATATGGCAGATGAATAGGATTGAGACTACAATCTTTGGGGTTGTATATTGGGATAGTGGAAAAGAAAATGGAAGCTACTACAGTACAGGGTCTAGGTGTAGGGTTTAGGGTTTAGGTGGGGGTTATATTGGGATAGTGGAAAAGAAAATGGCAACGCGGCAACTACTACAATGGGGTCATATAGGGATTATGGGGGTAGAGGAGGGGTAGGAGAAGAAAACCGGCGCACGGGAGTTCCCTCTGCCCTGCAACCACATCCCTCCCCAGTATCTCGGAAGGGCTTCGCAAGCGTCATGGCCCTCCTCTGCGGGGAGTTCCAATGGTGGCACTGGCTCATGCAGCCAAGTTGAAAGACGCTCTCCAAAAAAGGACGCAGAAACGGGAGAACTGGCAGGGGAGAGAGGAGGCATACATGTGGTTTGTACAATGGTACAATTGTATATATATATATATGTATATAGTATTATACGTATCAAACGATAGCTATCTGCAACTATCCCATAGAATCTATCACCATAGTGACGCTGCTAAGCGAATGATGCCAATGTTGACGCTAACAACGACAAGTGCGACGCACAGCCGAGCCTCACCCCTCGAGGTGTGAACAGCGCCCGCCATGCGATTGCAGCGCTGCCTCTGCTCGGCCACCATCAGGGTTCAGGGCTAAGGTCTTAGGGTTTAGGGTTTAGGTCTTAGGGATTCAGGGCGTAGGGTTTGAGGTCATTTCGAACACTGCCAGGATAACGGCAGTGCACATAACAGACGTTCTGAGAAGAACCCCGACGGAAGGCACTTTTGCCAAGTGTGATTCATAGCCTGCATGCGATTGCTCCTGCCACCACCGCCAGTATACTGCTAGTCCTCCCTCGAAAGTCATCACACACACCACGACACCACCGCGACTCCTGCTAATACAACGGCTATAAGTATCAAAACATGACCAGGCTCCACCGAAATGACTTGGAAAGCACTTCCCCTATCATGAGCAAACGCACTAGTACTTTCCATGTTCCTTTCCGTTGTCCCTATACATCGCCAATACATACCCTGTTCACCCTATTCGAATATCGTAGTTTGCATCTTGCTTTCCCTCATCCCAGTATGGTAGTTTCCCAGAATAGGCCTAATGTAGACCCCAAAACTACTATAATCCTTGTAATGGGGAACCCCAAAATGGTACCCCTAATTTTGGGAAACCCTAATCCTTCTAGAATCCCCTATATAACCCCAGTTT